TGCCCCATGTGGGAAGCGTCGTACACAGTGGGCCCACAGCAGTACCACGTCACCTTCTTGCCATTTTGAGGTATGAACACATCCTGTGTCAGAAACGGAGGAATAATCATCAGAGGGGAGGCAGGAATGGCACGCAGGGTCACCAAAGGTCACCAGAAAGAGGAGCTGATGCCAAGCCGTCAGCCAGAGGCCAGCAGGGTGCCGTCCCTTGCACTGGGCAAAATCAACTCTCGGGGCAGCTGTCCGCAGGCCACCGCCTCCTGCACGAGTCCACACATCTGCAGCGGACGGTGGAGGGTGCTGCTTGTCTCACAAGAGATCAAGGTCCATCACCTGCCAGGTCTTGAGTAAGCGCCTAGACTGACAGTGCCTGCTGGCAAGCCCCGAGGGAGGCCCGTGGGTGTTTTCTCTTCACAGTAGAGAGGGGAGCGGTGGGCAGCCAGCCAGAGCCTCGGAGGAAGCCCCAGCTGTGTGAGCTCCCAGGCCGGCCTCATCAAAGCCATGTGTGCAACCACCCGCAAGTCACTCTCTCTGGGAGGCATTCCCAGGAGCCAGCGAACGGCCTGCCCTGGCACCCGCGTAACTACTGGTGCTCACAGAGGAAAGACCTCATGAGCCACAGCCGGATGGTTCTCAGTTCACTCAGCAGCCCCGAGTGGGCAGCATGTCCTGAGCAGAGGGTCTCATGCCACCCGCTGCATTGGGCACCAGCCCTGCTGTCCTCTCAAGCCCAAGGCCTGCTGGCCATGGGCCTGTGACACTGAGGACAGCAAGGGGCCTGTGCCACGAGGCCAACAGGGGCCCCTTTCAGAGCCCACTGATGGCTGGCTGGGCTCAGGGCATGGGAGCACCTCAGGCTGCACACATGGCTTACCTTGTTCCGGGTAAGGCTGTTGTACAGGCGAAGCTTGCACGGCTGGGTGCTGGTCGGCGGCGACCACTGGGGCTGCCCGCGCCGGCCTTTACCTGGGGGCAGAAAGAGTGCTCAGATGCCCGTATACCACAGGGACGCAAAGTTCACTCTGCCAGCTTTCTGGTCTCTCAGGGGAAATGTGCCTTTCTACGAAACACGGAACGATGCTGTGTGGTTGTGGCTGTGGGCTGGAGAGTCTGACAACACTGTGTGATTGTGGTTATGGGCCAGTGAGTCTGACAACACTGTGTGATTGCAGTTGTCAGCTGGAGAGTCTGACAATGCTGTGTGGCTGTGGCTGTGGGCCAGAGAGTCTTACAACACCGTGTGGTTGTGCTTACGGGGCAGAGAGTCTATAGGACTCCTAGGGACCCTACAGGACATAGCAGACCTGCCCCCCCAGGGCTCCCAGGGCTGGGGTTGTTATGGGGCCAGATTGCCACGCCCTTCTCCTGCAGGGCAGCTGGAAGGTTTGAACCGCTGACCTTGTGGCTGGCAGCTGAGTGCTTCACCGCTGCTCAGTGAGGGCTCCTGGAGTAACACCAGGACCCAGGTCTCTGCAGCACCTCGGGCTGCTGCTCGGAGCTGCCTCCACGGTCACACCGCTGACCTCGTGCGACCGTCTCCAGCCCCGCCCTGACTTCAGGAGCTTGCTCTACCCTGCACACCCGCTCCAGCCCCGCTAGCCCTCAGACCCTGGCTCTCCTGGCACTGGGTGTGGCCATGAGGTCGGGAGGGGCCAGCAAGCATGCGGCCACTGTCTGCCAGCTCTGTGGAACGGCCTGGGTCTCCGAAGTCTGCGCCACCATCGCTCAGGGACCTGTCCCCTCTCTGCCCTGGGCCAGGCTGATCTCCTGGGGTGACCGGGGCCCAGGTGCAGCCTCAGAGGAGGGGAGGGCCTGGAGCGGCTCCTGGTTCACAGCCATGGAAGCGGGGGTCAGACTGGTCCACCCCACAGGCCCTCGGGGCCCCCAGTCAGACACGGGGAACCTCGGGGTCCCCTCCCTGAAATGCTGGCCCAGATGCCCCGTGCCCCAGAACGTGACACCCACTCTTGTCATCTTTGGAACTACCCTGAGATTCCCTGCCTCAGGCTAACCCCCTGCAGCCCTCAGCCCAATGGCCCTCTGCCCACTTGGGTCCGGGGCAGCCCTGCTCCTCCCTCCGTCAGTCCTGCCCACCTCTGTACCTTGCTTGGTGAGCGTCTAGACCAGCTCCCAGCTCCCCTCTCTGGGGTCAGGAAGCTGCGCTCGGCGGCTGGGACCACACGGGGCACTAGGCCTATGGGACCATGTTCTGGTTCCCTAGTACCACTCTGACAAGAATATACCACAAATGGGATGCTTGACCAAACAGGAGTTTATTTAAGTTCCAAGTGCCAGGCTCTAGGGGCTCGGTGAAAGCCCCTCAACCTTGGGATTCAGCTCTGCCTCCTGCTCCCGGCCACTGGAACTGGAGGCTTGTCCTCACTCAGACAGCTGCTGGCTGCTGAGACTGACAAGCCCAAGGTCGGCAAGTAAAAAGGCCCAGTCTCAACGTTACCAAACCACACGGCAGGCCATTAATTCAAGTCCATCGAAAGTTCCAAGGTCAGCAGAGCATGGCAGGCTGCTGAACACAGCTACATGCAGGGTCCAAGCGCGTCATAAGCTAGAGTCTATTCCCAAAGCTGTTTCTTATATACAGGAAGCAAACCACATACCCAAAGGCTACTCAGCTGCTCCAACAGATTCCAGCATGGAGTTGATGACCAGTCTCATCATGGGGAATAACTACCAGCTGTCCAGCCACTCAACCAGGCCCAGCCAAGTTGCCACACAAACTTAACCACCACTGTCCACAATAGAAACCCCTGCCAAGCAGCTAGCAAACTGCTTGCGTGCTGCTTCTTATCGTTAGTGGAGAGTCAGAGTCCTGGGTGCAGGCTGGGCGTCCGCACTCTCCCGGAGGCCCGCCAGCCTGGACTTGTAACCGACGCACCAATCACAAAGGAGGAGGGGGTGTGTGTGTGCGTGTGTAGGCGGATGGGGAAAGGCAGCAGACAGCCAGACCTCCAGATAGTGCTCACCAGGAGCCTCAGCCCAGGCCCGTTCCAGCAGAATCACAGGGACCACGGACTGTAATCGCACCCCCAAATCTGGGGACCACAGGCAGTGCTCACTGGGCCCACCTGCGAGGTCTCGCAGGCACCCTGACGCTCAGCAAGTGCCCTGGAAGGAAAGGCTCGTTCAGGGGTTTGGGCCATTCATCTGCCGTTTCATGATTTGCCCTGCCCCCTCGTTAAGGATCTGCCACCGAAGGAACAAGGACAGCCATGTAGGCACTGTGCTTATAAACGTCCCCCTCACGTGCACAGAGCGGCCACACCCACTTACCCACATCACCCCCCCCCCACACACAGAGCCTGGCATTCAGGGATAGAGGGCTGGAGACCTGTCCTTAGGAACCACAGCCCAGAATGCAGGGCCCACGTGACACTGTGCAGGGCCACCCTCCCAGGACGCCAGGGTCACAGTGGCCTCTGAAGCTCCCCGGAGGCTGCTGAGCCACCAGCTGGGCGAGGTCTGAAAGGGTCACGTGACATCCCCAGATGTGTGTCTGCCGGAGGGACCCAGGATGCTTTGTATGAAGGCCCTGCACCGAGTACCACCCCTTCCTGGAGCACCTCACAGAACAGCCTCTCCCGCGGGAGCTGCGAGGGGCCCTTAGCAGCCACGTCTCGCCGCCTAACCGCCAAGCACTGACACGCTTCACCCGCCAGACGGCAGTGCTCACGCTGGGCCACTGCTCATCTTCATCTCCACCTCCCTTGGGGACTGCCCGCTCACTCACGCAGCATGGTGACACACAGGTCCCACTCCACACCAGGTGACGTCCCGGCACGTGGGCACCTAAGACCCGGGCCTGAGCTGACAGGGGCTCCGCCTACCAAGCAAAGCCCAAAGCCCTCGCACCACGTCCAGGAGCCATGCTGCAGGACACAGGGTGGAGAGGCCTGCTGGGGGTGGGGCACTGCGCCCACAGTGGGTGCGGGGGATGTGGCGGCCACGCATCACCAAGAGGAGTGCTCAAAACGACAGGAGGGCCAGCCTGCCCGGGACAGAGCCACCAGACCACCCGAAGCCACCAAGAGGAGTGCTCAAAACGACAGGAGGGCCAGCCTGCCCGGGACAGAGCCACCAGACCACCCGAAGCCACCAAGAGGAGTGCTCAAAACGACAGGAGGGCCAGCCTGCCCGGGACAGAGCCACCAGACCACCCGAAGCCACCAAGAGGAGTGCTCAAAACGACAGGAGGGCCAGCCTGCCCGGGACAGAGCCACCAGACCACCTGAAGCCACCAAGAGGAGTGCTCAAAACGACAGGAGGGCCAGCCTGCCCAGGACAGAGCCACCAGACCACCCGAAGCCCAGGAGGGGACCTGAAGCCGCCTCCTCAGACCTGGTCCTGTGGGAGGACAGACCAAGGGGTGGAGGTTGCGAGAGGCAGCTGTCGGGCCCCCCCCAGGCCTGAGGCTCAGAGCAGCAAGCAGACCACGGTCAGTTTGCCGGCTGACAAGGGAGAGACACGGGAGAGCTGCAAGGCTGGCCGCAGAGAAGGGGAGGCTGGGAAGTGGCCCTGAGTGGAGCGGGGCAGGTCAGGCTGGCCGCAGAGAAGGGGAGGCTGGGAAGGGGCCCTGAGTGGAGCGGGGCAGGTCAGGCTGGCCGCAGAGAAGGGGAGGCTGGGGGGTGGCCCTGAGTGGAGCGGGGCGGGTCAGGCTGGCCGCAGAGAAGGGGAGGCTGGGGGGT